TGCCCTCAGCCCAGCACTGCGACGGGATCGATAGCTGTGGAGATGGCTCGGATGAGGCAGGTTGCGGTTCAGATCCCTTCCCTGACCTGATCCCAGCCTCTGCCCGCACCCCACGCTGCAATCACACCTTGGAAGACTTCTATGGGGTCTTCTCCTCCCCTGGATACTCACACCTGGCGTCAGTCTCCCACCCCCAGTCCTGCCTCTGGCTGCTGGACCCCCACGACGGCCGGCGCCTCGCAGTGCGCTTCACAGCCCTGGATCTGGGCTATGAAGATGCAGTGCATGTGTATGATGGCTCTGGGCCCCCTGAGACCTCCCGGCGGCTGCGCAGGCTCACCCACTTCAACAATGGCAAGGCTGTCACCGTGGAGACGCTGTCTGGCCAAGCCATTGTGGCCTACCACACAGTTCCTTGGAGCAGTGGTCGGGGCTTCAATGCCACCTACCACGTACAGGGCTATTGCTTACCTTGGGACCAACCTTGCGGCTTAGGCTCTGGCCTGGGGGCCAGTGAGGGCCTCGGTGAGCGCTGCTACAGTGAGGCACAGCGCTGTGATGGCTCCTGGGACTGTGCCGATGGCACAGATGAGGAGAACTGCCCCAGCTGCCCACCTGGACACTATCCCTGTGGGGCTTTTGGCACCCCCAGTGCCACAGCCTGCTACCTGCCTGCTGACCGCTGTAACTACCAGACCTTCTGTGCTGACGGAGCAGATGAGAGACGTTGCCGGCACTGCCAGCCTGGCAACTTCCGATGTCGGGACGAGAAGTGCGTGTATGAGACATGGGTGTGCGACGGGCAGCCGGACTGTGCTGACGGCAGTGATGAGTGGGACTGCTCCTATGCCCTGCCCCGCAAGGTCATTACAGCTGCAGTCATTGGCAGCCTTGTGTGCGGCTTGCTGCTGGTCATTGCTCTGGGCTGCACCTGCAAGCTCTATGCCATTCGCACCCAGGAGTACAGGTCAGCTGGCTTTAGAGGAGTGGGGACTGAGGGTGAGACGGAGCCCGTGCTGCCACAGGAGACCAGGAGGGTGCCATGTTGGGGATAGGTTCAGTGACCAGCTTATGGGTTGGCTCGGGGTTATCCAGCTTGGGAAAGAGGTTCTTCTTTGAGGGAAGAACAGGTCTATCTTCTGAAAGCCATCGCAAGGAAGGAGGGGACCTCAGTTGACTTTTGGGGAAACCATGGTATAGCTTCAGTTGTCCTGTCCTGGGTGTGGAGGGAAGAGGCCTGTCCGGGTCGGGACAGGCTACTGTAGCTGGACCTGTGACTGAGCAGCCCTCATTCCTTCCAGCATTTTTGCCCCCCTCTCCCGAATGGAGGCTGAGATTGTGCAGCAGCAGGCACCCCCGTCTTATGGGCAGCTCATTGCCCAGGGCGCCATCCCACCTGTGGAGGACTTCCCTACAGAGAATCCTAATGATGTAAGTCACTGCCCCAACCCTAGCTCATGCTGCCCCCAACTCCACTGTGGCCCTGCCACTGTCCCCCCTTTCAGGCTTCTGGCCCTCATCCCTCCGACTGATGTCTCCTCCTCTCCTTGCAGAACTCAGTGCTGGGCAACCTGCGTTCTCTGCTACAGATCTTGCGCCAGGATATGACTCCAGGGGGTGCCTCCGGTGCCCGCCGCCGCCAGCGGGGCCGTACTGTCCGCCGCCTGGTGCGCCGTCTCCGCCGCTGGGGCCTGCTTCCTCGAACCAACCCTCCAGCCCGAACCCCTGAAACCAGACCCCAAGTCACACCTTCTGACGCTCCCCTTGAAGCCCTAGATGGCAGCACAGGTCCAGCCCGTGAGATTGGGGCAGTAGGTGGGCAGGATGGGGAACAGGCACCCCCACTGCCTGTCAAGGCTCCCCTCCCATCTGCTAGCATACCTCCGGCCCTCCCTACTGTCCTGGAGGCCCCAGGGCCACTGCCTTCAGTGCCCCTAGAACCATCACTGCTGTCTGGAGTGGTGCAGGCCCTGCGAGGCCGCCTCTTGCCCAGCCTTCGGCCGCCAGGACCAATCCGGCCCCCAGGACCAACCCAAACCCCACCTGAACCCCACACGATAGTCCTGTCCCCAGAGGATGAAGACGATGTACTGCTGGTGCCACTGGCTGAGCCGGGAGTCTGGGTAGTTGAAGCAGAGGACGAGCCACTGCTTGCCTGAGGGGACCTGGGCTCTCCTGGGGGCTCTAGTCACAGTGACAACCACCCTTTAGAAACAGCTCAGCTTCACTCCCACTACTTCCCTCCCTGACCCTAGGTCTGAGGGGACTTGGTGAGCCTCCCCTTGGCCCTGTGTAGCTGCTGTCAAGTTAGGTGTCCCTCAGGCAGAGAGAGGGCTCATACAGAGCTCCCTCTGCACCTGGCCAGAGATCACAGGCTCTCCACCACCACCCTCTCCTCACACCACCACCATTTGGGTGGCTCTTTTTAAAGAGTAAAGTTCTTAAGAGGTCATAGGCCTGAACACTCCATCCTTACCAATCCCCCACCAAAAGTGGCCTTAAGCACCAGCATTCCAATTGGCTGGAGACCTCTAGCCCCCAAGGGGAGGATTTAGGCAGGGCCTGTGGTTTTGCCAACTGTGATCCTTCCTATAGGGGCTGGCTAAAAAAAATAAAAAAAAAAAAGCACAACAAATGCTTTTGTCCGATAGCTAGGTCATTGCCCAGAAGTCAAGGTTGAAAATAAAGGAATCAGAAATTTAAGATTTTTGTACATGAGCTGTGATCCTGAGCCCTGCGTCTCTACCCATCTCAGCTTATGCTCACCTCACTTTGCTCCTTCCTGTGTAGGCCTTTGCTCTCCCCTCTTCCTATTGATCTAATCACACGCTCTTGATTTTTTTTACCACACAGTGGGTAAGAAAATTCTAGGGATCCTAAGAACCAACCCTCTCCACCTCCACTCACCACCTGGGGCCCAACTCTACAGTGATTGACACCAGGGTGAGCACCAAACCTCTTTATTCACTGCCAGGCCGGAAGCCTGCTGAGCCTGCTGGGCCCTGGAGCTGGGAAGGTTTCCATTTATGGAGTACTTGCAGAGTACAGATCACAGGAGCAGATTGTCCCTGGTAGAATATGGGAGCGGTGACTCCTGCCCTCCACCCTCTACCCCCACCAGACAATTACAGTCTGTCCTAGGCAGATGAGCTTTTCACGGGCTGCCTCAAAGCAGGCAAAGGTGAATTGAGAGAAAAATCAGAAACATTCAGAATGTGAAGATGCTGGCATCTACTTGGCCAAATCTAAGAGGTCTTCCTGGAAGAAGGCCCAAACTAGATTAAAGAACACTCAGTAGTTGGAATAGAGTTGTGAATTCCAGGCATGGTGAGTGTCCACCGGATAAGCAAACTAAGCAGACTTGAGAGTGAAGGCTATAATAAGCTGGACCCTGACCTCAGAAAAGGTGCAGGAACGCAAGCAGTAGCCAGAGCCAAAGAGCTGGAGAGGGTGATGGAGGAGGGAATGATCTGTGAACATGTTGGAACCCAGCCTCTGGTAAGCAAGGTGATAGAGCTGTCCCAGGGTTTGACATGACAATCGGGACAAAGGATTTAGAAGGAACTATGGGGGTGAGCATTATGCCCAGGAACAGAGGTGAGGCATCCCTGACAGAACACCCTCCCCCCCATCCCCAGGGAAACCCCCAGCCTCATCCTCGCCTTTCCTGCCTGGCCTGGCCTATCCCCACCTTCTGGTAGAGGGCCCTGTTGATTATACCCTGTCAACCTTACATGCAGTGCTGATTGCATAATGTTTCCTCCTTCCCAGTGAGCAAGAGCCTAAGGAATGGCAAAAAGGGTATATGGTGCAGTCCTGGGACCCTGGCGTCTTGGCTCGGGAAAGACCCGAGTTCCTTTTCACTGCAGATCCTCTCCAGAGATTGGAGAAGGGGCTCCAGAGATCTCCCTTCTTGCTTACTGTTCTTCCTTTGGGCCTTCCTTCCCCAGTGCAACACTCCCTGGGTCCCACCAGTGTCCGGCCCAGTGACACGGGGAATGTTTTTTCCTCCCATTCTTCCATCACCTGGTCTCTACCTTCTTCCTGCTCCTGTCTTCCCTACAGCCATCTCAAAAACCTTCAACCTGGTATTTCATCCCTTGTCCTACTCGAGACCTTTTTTGTAATGAAAGTGGACAGAGATTCAAGGTCAAAGAACGCTCCCCATGATGGAACTCCTCAGAATGCTGGAGGGAGGACTTGAAGGTAGAGTTCACTAGAAAGGCCTGTGTGTATAGATTCACGAACCTAAAAGAAGCTTCTCTGGGTGCTGGGTGTGTGCTCTGGGAGATGCAAGCAGTAACACTATTATCAGCCACAGTGAAGCTCCAGGTTGATGGGGAGAAGGAATTGGCCTCGTACAGGCAATAAGAGAAATCTAGTAAAACAGAGGGTCCTACCCAGGAGAGGGTGGGACATTGGGGAACATTCACCCAAGTTTATTTTAATCATGGCCCAAGGAAAAAGAGGAGGCAACTTCAAATACTATCAGGATAGACACCACTATCTGTGGTGCCCAATATCAGGGCTGAAAGAGGAGGAGGTGGTGTTCTCAGCTTAAGAGGGGGATCGGCTGGAAATGTGAGAACAACAGAATTCAGTCCTTAAAGGAGCAGAAACTGGGCTTAACCAAGTTCTGGTCCCTGCTGGGAAGGAAGGGGGTCCCCCAGCCACACAGAAGAGGCCGTGGGAGCACCAATAATTGGGCTCTGCTAAGGGTCAGATCCATTATCCCATGTGGCCAACCCTCATGATAAGGCTGTGCCATGGGCATCATAACCACACGAGCCAGTTCACAGGTTCAGAGCAGCATCCAAGGAATTAGGAGACTAGCCTAGTCTCTACGGAGAGGCAGATTTAAACCTGGGCTGGTTTGCTTCCAAATCTCACCCTTTCCCACTATTCCATAGGCTCTCCCATTCCTGAGGGAGCTTGGAGATGGATGAGCAAGTATACAGCTTCTTACCCATGAGGAAGAGAGATGGTGGTTCAAGGTGAAACCCAACCTGTTCCTGTGGCCTAAGGCTGGTTTGAGGGCAGGCAGAAGTCATAGTCAAGAATCCTTGCTGGGTTCAGCAGCCCCTGACTCACTCATCTGATACCAGAAAAATGAATCCAACCACCTCATTGAGTTTTCCAGCTACATCAAGCTCACACCTTTATACTTTAAAACTTCTCTAAAAACTCCTTTTGGAAGGAAATCATTCTAAAACATTACACTCATATGTAGCTCATTGGTGGTCTCCAGACAGCGCTCAGCGATGGAAGTCGGGGGTGGGAGCAGCCCCTGGGAGCCAGAACCTAATATAAATCTTTCTGGGGTGCTGAGGATCACTCACAGAAACCAATGGCTCCTCCTAAGCTATGTTTTCAGAAGTTATAACAGTGTCAGGGGGCTGTTTGCCTTTATGCCAAATGGTATTAGAGCACCTTTTAAATGCTTATGACTGCTTTAAAAGGTTTTTGTGGTGTTGCTTCCCTTACTACCAGGCTATCAGGGGTCACTTGCTGCTCTAAATGTGCTTCTGATCTGTGTGTACACGAACACACATGGACACATTAGAATTGTGAATAACAGATAAATAGTCCATAATTGAAGACTGGAGAGTCTATCCTATGAGTAAAGTGCATGAGTATTGTACCTGCTCAGGAGTCCTTTCTGCTCCCACTAGACCCCACAATGTTGCCCTGTAGTTGATCTCTAGATAAATGAACTGTTACTGCATGTTAGTCCGATTACCATTTGCCTCTTTGATTGGAAAAGTCCACCAAAGATTGCAATATAGATTGTTCCCAATAATAGGAGACAGTTGGAATATTTAAGACAAGGAAGGCAGCATAGGGTAGAGATGAAGCATCTTTGGCATTGGAAAAATGTGGGTGAGAGTCCTGGTGTCCCTACTTTTTTTCCAGCTGCATGATTGATTTGGAGACAGGCCATCCGCCTACCACTCTGAGCCTTACAGCCATGAGGATGAAAGATATTGTAGGAAGACCTGACAAAAATGGGGTCAGCAGGGGCCAGGAAATCAGAATGTTTGGGTGCTTGCAGGTGTCAGGAAGGAAGACCAAGAGTAATTGGGCAGGAAACGAACAGTAAATGAGACGCCCATCCTGGCTTTACAGAAGGAGGTAGACACTGTGTCTGCCTTGTGTAGCCCAGAAGCCCTGGTGGCTGTCCCAGAGCGGGATTCAAGGGGAGGGGCTAGCACTCTATACCCCGCCTTGGGGTTGGGAACCTCCAGAGGGTTAGTCTCTCCCTTTTTTCCTGCTCTGATTAACACTAGGCTGGTGGGCCTGGCAGGGAGGGAGAAAAAGGAAGTCCCCACAATGGTTTGCAGCACCTGAACTTGGTGACGAAAGGAAGCAGCCCAAACAAAGCAACCATCTCTCCTTCCTCAAAGCCCCATCTACCTAGGGACCAGGCTGGGAAATGGGTACTTTTCTGGGCCTTAGCCCAGAAGCGGTGGTGTGGGGAAGGAGAGGATGGCAGGGAACCTTGGTGGCAAGGTGGGTGCCTCCTGTCTGCATTTCTTTTGTTTTCTGCCTCTAGCCCTCTATTTAGCCACAGAGCACCTACTCTGGGCTAGACATTGGGCTAGGGGGCTGGGAACACGGAGATAAATGATGCATAATCCTGGCTCCTGGAGAAAGACCTCTCGGTCCTGTGTCCCTGCCTCCCGCCTTCCTTACCCACCAAACCCTCGCCCCACTTCTCTGAGACCCTGTCTCTTCTGCTGACTTTGTTCTGTTCTGTCTTACCCGGACTCTGCAGTGTGTGTGCTCCCAGAGGGAAGCGACACAAAGGGGGGAGGGCAGAAAGGAGGGAATCCCGCTGACATCACTGTTCATTAGCATGTGTGACCTCATCAGGGGCGGGACAATTTCCCCAGGTGTCTAGGGGGGAGGACACGTGGTGGGGGGGTGGTATTTAAAGGGAAAAGCTGACAGTGCTGCTAAATGAGATAGCGGTGCTGCTGGCCGCCTGGGCTGCACACACACGCACACCGATGCATTCGGACCTGGACGCCGACATGGACACGGACACAGAAACCACAGCACTCTGCCCCTCCGGCAGCCACCAGAATTCCCCCCCAGGGACGCCCACACCAGGTGAGGCAGAGCGGGGCAGATTTTGGCTGGAACCATGGGGGTGGGAGCCGAAGCTTTGGTGGGGAGGTCAGAACTAGGGGGTTAAAGGAGCTTGAACCCAAACCGCAAGAAGGGTAGAGCAAGTTGGAAAGGGGGGAAGCCTCCCACTCACACTAGGAATGGGGCTGAAAGGGGGGGGGGAGAGCTGCTTAAATGCCCCCTCCCCCTCACTCTCAGGGCTACGCTGGGGAAATTTGTACTTGGCCCCCTAGGTCCGACTCGTTCCCTAGAGGCAGGAGGAAAGGAACGGGAAAGGGAAGGGGCGGCCCCCAAGCCTGGGAATCACGGGCAAGGGGCTGCCCTGGGGACCTGTTGTAAGGGTTTCTTCTGGCTCCTGGAGGCCCTGGCTGCTAGCCAAGTATTGATCCTGGGCTATTTCCAGCCTCTCTCCATCCCCCTTTGTTGTGTCTGTCCATCTTCCTCCTGTTACCCTGACCCATGCATTGTCACGCTCTTCTGCTCCTGCTCTTTCGCTACCTCCCTCTCCCACCCTCCCTCTTCCTCACCATGAACACAATATTTTCTCCAACTCACGGAAACAGCCAGGGGTGCAGGATTCTCACGCACTGGGGGATACTCACCTACAAGGCCACAGGAAGCGGCAGCCCCCCTCATGCACACACCCACAGAGACACAAAGCACACATCTCAAAGAGCAAAGGACCTTCCCTGAGATCGGGCTCCCCGCAAAGTTTTTGACTACCGCTACCCACCCCCACAGAACAGGGGCAGCAGCTTCAGTTTCTCATCCCTGAGCCAGCAAGCCAGGGGGTTGCCAGTGCAGGAAGCAGCAGGGGCAAGGCCTCTTGGCCGAAGGAAGAGCAGCCCCCGGGCCAGAGGGTGTGCCTGTGTGTCAGTGTGAAGTGTGAGTGGGTGTGCAAGGCTGCACACAGGCGCCTCCCCTGCATGGGGCAGTTTTGAATAGGTTGTGGCTGGAGCCACTTTGGACAAGCCATCAGGTCAGCGCCTTGGTGCCCCACCAGTTCAGGCTTCTGGGAGAATTTCGGTATAAGGGGTCAGACCAAAGAGTCTCAGCTCCTTCTGGGTCATGATCATCAACTGGGCCTCTAAAGCTGGAGCAACCAGGATTGAGCCCTGTACAGATGGCTAGGCACACCCCGCTCATAACTTCTTTCTCTTTGCCCCCCAGAAGCAAATGCCACACTGCTGAAGAAGTCAGAGAAACTGTTGGCAGGGTTGGACCGGAGCGGGCCACCCTCTGCCCCCGGGGTCCCCAGACGAAGAGGCAGCATGCCTGTCCCCTACAAGCACCAGCTGCGGCGGGCCCAGGCTGTAGATGAACTTGACTGGCCACAAGCCTCATCCTCTGGCTCTTCTGACTCCTTGGGCTCAGGGGAGGCAGCCACCACCCAAAAGGATGGCATCTTCAAGGTCATGCTTGTGGGGGAGAGTGGCGTGGGCAAGAGCTCCTTAGCGGGCACTTTTGGCGGTCTCCAGGGAGACGGTGCTCACGAGCCGGAGAACCCAGGTATTTCGGGGAGCCCTGCAAGGGTTGAGGGTGCCTCCAGAGCTAGTCAGGGACGGAAGAGCTCAAGGCGTGAGCAGCCCCTGGGAGCCAGAACCTCGGAGAAGTTTCTCCAATGCTTTTTGTGGCAACCTCCCTGGAGCACGGTCCCTGGTTCTGGGATCTGAGGCATCCCTGGTTACCAGGTCTCACAAGTGTTGGGAGCTTCCTAATGGGCACTATTCCCTGTCCTTATTTCCCAACAGAGGACACCTATGAGAGACGCATCATGGTGGATAAGGAGGAAGTAACCTTAGTTGTTTATGACATCTGGGAACAGGTGAGAACTAACACGTGGCTGCCAGCAGGTGATGACCCCTGGGAGAACTGGGGAAGGGCAAAGCCTGGGTGAAGGCTGGTGGGACTGCAGGCGCTGGTTTCAACATGTGTTACATCTTAGAGAGCAAAGGCCCCCAATAGTGCGCATGTCATGGCCTCAAGATCCACTTCTCTCCGGGGTCTTCTGACCCAGAGGAAACTTAGGATTTGAATTTGGCGAACCCTGCAGCTGCAAGCCAGGCTAAACATTCTGAAACTGACCCTATGCATACTTTTTTTTCAGCCTGGAAGAGTCTGACCCCTCAAGAGTTCAGGGCTCTGGCATGTCAGGGAAAGAAAAAGAAAAAGTGAGGACTTGTGAACATTTGGATATAAATGGTTACTATATAGAAACAAGAGACCAGGTTACATAACACTTGAATAGCAGTCATTCCTTAAACTTTCTTGAGCTTATGTATCAGAAAATAGGACGGGCTACCCTAGCCTCGGATCCTGTGTCTCCAGTTCCCCAGTGTGGGCTCACATTACTAACTTGTACCTCCCCCACAAACACACCCTGGATATGGAGATTCTGCCATTAACTAGCTCTGCTGCTCTACACAGGTGGTTTCTCCCTCACCTCCTGATTCCTCGTCCTCGAGATCGTAGGTGCTGGGCAGATTTTCCCAGCTTCCCCGCCCTGACATTCTGACTTTCCGCCCATCTGCAGGGGGATGGTGCGGGGTGGCTGCAGGACCACTGCCTTCAGACCGGGGATGCCTTTCTCATCGTCTTCTCAGTCACTGACCGACGAAGCTTCTCCAAAGTTCCAGAGACTCTACTTCGACTCCGCGCTGGGAGGCCCCACCACGACCTGCCCGTCATCCTCGTTGGAAACAAGAGTGACCTGGCCCGCTCCCGGGAGGTCTCACTGGAGGGTGGGTATCCGGAACCTCGTCCATACTTACATCCTAAGGTACTTTCTCCCTTCCAAGTCACCTCTTTTGCATACGGCATTTTTACCGCCAGCTGCACAGACTTAACGGCATTTCGCCCCAGGCTAAGCGCAGTCTCCCAATGCCCATGCCCAGGGCCCTGAGCAGCTCCTCTCTCCACTCCCCCTCACGTCTTCTCACTGCCCCCTCTTCCCTCCCCACGATCCCTACTTGCCCTCTTCGCCTCAACCCCTTCCACGGCACACCCTGCCCCAGGCCCAGTGCAGCCGCGGGCGCCTGATCCCGTCCCTCCCCGCAGAGGGCCGCCACCTGGCAGGAACACTGAGTTGCAAGCACATCGAGACGTCGGCCGCGCTGCACCACAACACGCGGGAGCTCTTCGAGGGCGCCGTCCGCCAGATCCGGCTGCGGCGGGGCCGGGGCCACGCGGGGGGGCCAGCGGCCAGAGCGGGGCAGCCCCGAGGGCCCCGCGCCACCCGCGCGCCGCGAGAGCCTCACCAAGAAGGCCAAGCGCTTCCTTGCCAACCTGGTGCCCCGCAACGCCAAGTTCTTCAAGCAGCGCTCTAGGTCGTGTCACGACCTCTCCGTGCTCTGAGCCGCGGTCGCCATGGTCACCGCGGTCGCCATGGTCACCACTCTCGGCTCGCCCCGTCGCCCCGCCACGCCCTGTCCGACTTCCTTTGTGAAGACAGCCAAGGCTGGGGGGCGGGGGGGATGTAGACTAGGAAACCAAAAACTCCCAGGACGCCCTGGTGTGACCACGGTTAGAGGGGGGAGGGGGCGGTCTCTGAAATACCCCCTCCGCCCCTGGGCGCAGGAGGCAGTGCTCAGACCCGAGGGCGGGCGCGCCGGCGGGCAGGAAGGAAAATCGTTCTGCAAGGTACGGTATTTTGTTCATTACTTCGCGCTTTACCACCTCTCCGGTAGAGACCCTAAAACCGAGAACTGGAAAAGTGCTTGGTAGACTCTTTTACAGGGTTTTCCACCTTTGTACTGTGCACGAATATGCCTCACCTTTAAGAGATTCTTAAAGGTAAAGACACGGAGACCCTTCTTGGAGCTTTTCCTATAACATTCTGGCTCTTATCTGCTGCACTTGTCCACTTTGCCTTTAAGAAGTTCTTAAAGGCAAGGGCCTGGTAGTGCTATTTTTTGAGAACTGATTTTGTGATTTATCACTACACCACGGCACTTCCCCTTTAAGGCTCTTAAAGGTAAGGTGTGGACAGACTTTTGCCTTCAGATGCCAGCGTGAGGAGCTGAGCGGGTGGTAACTCCCCTTTGGCCAGGGCCCAGGAGGTACCAGCAAGGGTCCACCCTTCCCTTTTGAATAAAGAATTTTTCTACTGCACCTGTTCACTTTGACTTTGTTTTCAACGCCCCCTCAGAAGGGATGGATGTGGGAAACTCTTGTCTGTTACAGACAAGAAAACTCAGGCGGGAAGGAGCAAGGAACCTAACTCTCTAGGGAGGCCTCGGAACTGACTGAGTCCTGATGTAGTCCGTGACCGGTGACCACAGCCCCTTAGAGATGATTGGGTCTAACTCGTGCCATTGCCTTGCCGTTGAAGAAACAGGCCTGGAGAGGAGCTAGAAGCAATTTAGTACCTTAGTGCCACGTGGTACCAAGTACCCATCTCTTGGCCCTACCTTCTACTGCAAGAAGCGGGCTAGAGGCTTCAGTGAGCTCCCAGAGCTGCATTCAGCTGTGACCGGGACTGGTTCCAGGTGAGGCCCACCAGCTGGGTCAGGACAGGGTCAGCCTGCACCTCCCCTGTCAGGGCTCCACCACCCAGCTGTCACCTGCAAAGCCCGGGTGAGAACTGAAGCTGTCAGTGCCTTCCCTGCTAACGCCCACGCCTGCTGCTGTCTGAGCCACGAGTTTGAACAAAGGGAACAGGCAGCAGCTCCCCTCACACTTACACATGCAGTACAGTTACCTGAGCACCCAGGGGCCAGGCCTCCGCCTCACCCCACTCAGGTTCCCAGAACTTGATGGAAAGAGGAAGGAGATGTCTGTCTTCTTAGTCCTTACAGCTGCAGAGGGCCAAGTGAGACCAGCCCAGCATGAGATATTATGATAGTGACACTATCCTTAAGACTTTATTCACTTTATCTGTTAATTCTTTAATGACTATATAAGTTGTTACTACCTGTTTTTACTGTGGAAGAAACAGAGTTTAAGTAACCTGTCTGAGAGGTCAGTAAGCAGAGCTGGGATTCCACTCATGTCTGCTGATATTTAATGATTTTATCAACCTTTGCATCTGAGGTTCCCTTTCCAGTAAGGATGGGGGCGGGCGGGGGGGCAGGGAGAGGAAGAGGAACAGTAGAAGAAATGTGGGCAACACAATGAGCAGGGTCGTAGGCAGTGGCTGTGGTGAAAGGGCCAGAGAAATTACATGGCTGTAGTAGAGTAAGCCAGCTCTAATCTCTGGGGACCATGAACAAAGACAGTTCAAATGTTAAAATGCAGGAAAACACACTGGGCCCATTAAGAGACCAGATGGTTCTGCAGTTTAATTGAAACTTCAGAGACATGAAGGGGAGGGTAAGAGAGGAACATGAAAAAGGTTTGAAGCCCTATTACAAAGGACCTTAAATGCTGGCAAAGGAGTTAGTGCTGTAGGCAATAAGATGGATGGTCTTGCCCTGACCAGTTTGGCTCAGTGGATAGAGCGTCAGCCTGTAGACTCTGGTCAAGGGCATGTACCTGGGTTGCGGGCACATCCCCAGTAGGGGGTGTGCAGGAGGCAGCTGATTGATGTTTCTAACTATCCCTCTCCCTTCCTCTCTGTAAAAAATCAATAAAATATATATTTTTTAAAAAGATGATGGTCTTTGGGAAAAGGAGGCTGGGAGAGGTGTATATGGATTAGAGCAGCAGAGGCAAGGCCTGAGGACTGAATGTAGGAACCAATTACAAGTGTTACATCTGAAGGGCAATGAAGGACCATCCTGAGACAGATAGCTGTGGGAAAGTAGAGACAGCATGGGTATGAGAGTCAGAATAGATGGGACTTGGCAACTGAGTGGCTGGGTATAAAGAGGGAGGAGTTGCAGGTTGTGGGAGGATGCTAAGGCATTAAGAGTTAGGGTTAGCTCAGCCGGTATGGCCCAGTTGGTTGAGTGTCATCCCATGCACCAGTAGGTCACCAGCTGAATTCCTGGTCAGGGCACATGTCTGGATTGTGGGCTCGATCCCCAGTAGGGGGCATGCAGGAGGCAGTCGATTGACGTTTCTCTTTCATCAGTGTTTCTATCTCTCTCTCCCCCTCCCTTCTCCTCTCTGAAATCAATAAAAACATTTTTTTTTAAAAAAAAAGGGTTCAGCCATTGTTGCTCAGTGATTGAGCATCAACCCATCAACCAAGAGGTCATTGGTTCAATTCTCAGTAGGGGCACATGCCTGGGTTGCAGGCTCAATCCCTGGTTGGGGTGGGTATAGTCTCTCTCCTTTCTTCTCTCTAAAATAAATTTTTTTAATATATTTTATTGATTTTTTACAGAGAGGAAGGGAGAGGGATAGAGAGTTAGAAACATCGATAAGAGAGAAATATCGATCAGCTGCCTCCTGCACACCCCCTACTGGGGATGTGCCCACAACCAAGGTACATGTCCTTGACCGGAATCGAACCTGGGACCCCTGAGTCTGCAGGCCGACGCTCTATCCACTGAGCCAAACTGGTTAGGGCTAAAATAAATTTTTTAAAAAAGAAGGTGGAAATACAGTCACCAGAGGCTACTGCCCAGGGAGGAGGGCTTTTCTAGAGGAAGAGTACCACCAATGGTCAAAGGTGGCAGGAGCGGGGGAATGAGAAACAAGAAAGCCCAGTGCCTTGCCCAGCCAAGGTGGCTTAGTGGTTGAGCATTATTGACCTATGAACCAGGAAGTCATGGTTTGATTCCCAGTCAAGGGCACATGCCTGGGTTGCGGACTCAATCCCCAGTGTGGGGCATGCAGGAGACAGCCGATCAATGATTCTCTCTTATCATTGATGTTTCTATCCCTCTCTCCCTCTTCCTTCCTCTCTGAAATCAATAAAAATATATTTTTAAAAAAGACAGAAAGCCCAGTGCCTTTCATGTGGCAGAATTCTGAAGATGATGATGGCCGGACCTCCTCATGAGGGAACCACATACACCACAGGCTTCCCTCCCCCAACTCAGCCAGTCTATCAGCCGACCCATCTGTGTGTTCCCTCCAGACGCCTACAGGGAAGAGCTCAGAACAGAAGGAAACTGAAGTCACGCTCCTGCCAGACTTGGGAGAAGTGGGGTCTTCTCTAAGAGCCAGGCCATTTTTCTTCCTCCCTTGATCAAGGCAAAGCACAGCCTGGCTGCTGATCTGGACTGGCGTGAGAGATAGCTAAGGGCCCTGGGACCTGAGCTGGCTGTGCCAGGTAAGACCTCCTCTGCTCTTGTGCTCCCCTTAACCACTGTGATTTTGTCTTGGGGTCTGTGCTCTTACCAGCCCAAACCCTGCCCACCCCTTATCCCCATTCCCCCAGCGCATAAGGCCTTCTCACTGGCCCAGAGCACAGACTGTGCCCTCCCCTGAGGGGACAGAGGAGAGGCCAGTCCTGTGTCTTGGAAGGTATTCCTTCCTCTGCTTAAAGTTGGGTCATTAGCCCTGCTGCATCTAATAGTTTCTACAGAGACTGGACCAGGGTCTCTTATCTTCTGAAAGGCTGCCAGTCATGCAATGACAACTTCACAAGTCTCCTGGGTTACACACTCACTCCCAGAAAGTCCACTCATATGTACATCTTTTATTAATTTAACACTAGAGGCCCGGTGCACAAATTCATGCACAGTGGGGCCCCAACGGAGGTGGGGGTGGGGCTGGGACACGATTGGCCCCCTGGGCAGGCGGTGGAACACCCTTGCAGCCTGGGATCCCCTTCCTGCTGACATTCAAGCTGGTTGTTAGGAGCCACCTGACGGCCACTTTTATATTGTTTCTTCCTTGCGGAGTGTCTAGGGAGGGGAAGTGGCCGGCCGCAGTGCCAGAGGCCAACTTCCAGGAGGCCAGCAGCACTGTCAGGATTGTTTGGTGCCTGGCCCGTTCTCCAGAGACTGGACCTGCAGGACTACTGAGGGAGTGAGTGGCTGCAGCCTGGCTGGTGGGCCGCTGGGCCAGGTCGGTCAGCTGAGCGACATTCCCATGTGGGAGCATACGGACCACAAGGGGGCAGCTCCTGTGTTGAGCATCTGCCCCCTGGTGGTCAGTGTGCATCATAGTGACCGGTCGTTCAGTCACTTAGGCTTTTATATATATAGATAGTTCCAATCCACATCAGTCCAAGTAAAATTTTCCTGGATATTATTATCTTTCATATACAAATGCTTATTGTTCCTCTCAGATATTACACTATGGCAATCACTGTGCTGGGCCCTCTGAGGAAAACAAATACAGATAAGAATCTATCCCTGCCCTCAAGTAACTTACAATTGACCAGGAGAAATGAAACAAGGTGGTGACAGCACTACTATGGACAAACGGCAGCATGCTATACCACATTCTATCTAATTGGGGGCAAAGCCTGTGCTTTAAATTTTCTAAGAAAGGAAGAAACAAAATTTAGAAGACATATTTTAGCAACTGGGGCTTGAAGGATGTATGCTGAAGAGTGTAGATAGATGGAGGAAAGAAGGAAAACCACCTCTTGTGAAACTACATGAGCAAATGCACAGGAGAAATGGTGGGCAGCCCACCCCATGATAGATAAAGACCTTCCCTATACAAAAGGCAACAACATTTGGGTGGATGGTGCAGCCAAGTTGCTAAGGGGCCACAAAAGTATAAGAGCATCCTGCTTTTTAATCCTTTATCATCTTGGTGGCTTTCTAATGCACACATGGTCAAGGTCCCTTTTCATTTATTTGAATCTTGCTGCCATGCCTCCATAGCTTGGTGGCCTTGTAAACTCAAGATGTGAATACAGCTGGGCAGGCGTGGCTCAGTGGTTGAGTGTCGACCTATGAACCAGGAGGTCACGGTTCGATTCCCAATCAGGACACATGCCTGGGTTGCAGGCTTGATACCTAGTGTGGAGCATAAAGGAGGCAGCCAATCAGATTCTCTCTCATCATTAATGTTTCTATCTCTCCCCCTTCCTCTCTGAAATAAATAAAAACACATTTTTTTAAAAAAAAAAAGTGAATTCAAATTCAGTGGGGCCTTGCAGGCATTTTATTAGCACTCAGGCCTACTACTTTTTGGATGGAGGTCTAGGGAGAAAAGTCACTATTTATTTATTATTAATCCTCACCCTAGGATATTTTTTCCGTTGTGTAGAAGGGAGAGAGGGAGAGACATTATTTTGAGAGAGACACATCGATTAGTTACCTCCTACATGCTCCCCAAATGGGGCTGGGGATCAAACTTGCTGCAACCCAGATACGTGCCCTTGACTGGGAATTGAACCTGTGATCCTTTGGTGCACAGGCCAATGTGCTAACCATTGAACCACTGGACAGAGTGAAAAGTCATTCGTAAACTCTGTCCTTCTGAACCTCAGCTCTCCCAACTGTGCAACGAAGATAGTACCTACCTTTGTAGGATAGTTATGAGGACTAAATAAAATGCCAGTATTTTTGTAATTTGTCAAGCATTATACAAATGAGCAGTGAAAAGTAATGTTTTTTGACACCTGTGTCCTGGTCCCTTATTCAGGCATTTGGCAATTTGCTAGCCTCTCAAAGCATACCACCACTCTGGAAATACAAATTTAAGTTGTGGTCTGCAAGGTCCACCATACCTCCCACAGGACTCACAGGTGACCCATTATTGGACTTGTTATTTTAGGGAGGACTGGGGAAAAGATTGGCATCTAAAGCCTACGTGATGGTATTACACTACACAGTTTTCCATTTTTTGTTCAAATGACAACTGGTCTTTAGGCAGAGAACCTGTGATGATTTAAAATACTTATTCTGAAAGGAAATTGCCATAGCAGGGCTAGGTTCTGGAGACCAATAGCAGGTGCTACAGGAATGCTTGGGAGGTTAGGGCTCTAACAGTTAGTGCCAGAAAAGGCGGGGGGGGGCTCACCTTGATTTTTCAAAGCCATCTGCCCTAATCTGATTAGACAGTTTCAGGCATAAAAAAGATTGGACAGTGGGATCTGTTTTCCTGAAAGTTAGGCTGGCTGCATGTGACCCAGGACCTTGTGAGCCTGGGACTTTTAGCACAGGAACAATTAAGGTTTATTTTCATCATGGTCCCTTCCTCTCCTCTCCTCTCCTCTCCGTAAATCTTGAGCATTCTCTGAAGTTGGGGAGGAGAGTGAGGTCAGGTAGGAAGTCAAGTGTGTAGGCATACAGAGGAATGGGGAAAATGATGGCAGTAGTAATGACAAGCTAACAAGTTCTAAGCCCCCTACAGGGATCATTTCATTTAATCCTCACAACCCTAAAATAGGTACTATTGTTATTAATATATTGCAAATGAGTTTTCAAAGCCATCTGGCCATAATCTGATTATATAGAGTCGGAGTTAGAGAAGTAATGTAACATCCAAGCTCACTCAGCTGGTTTGAGACACAAGAGAGCAGGCAGTGTTGCTCCAGAGTGTGACCAATTTGCTACAGGTTGGAGGTCCCCTGGGTTGGTTTGGCCCAAGAATTGAGAGAAGGAGGCTAATTCTCAGTACCACATATTCTAAACACATAGGCATCATGATGCTTGAAAGTTAATTGAAACTCCCATCCTTTCTGGAACACTGGCACGAGTTTGATAAGTCTCTGATTTCCATCATTGTTTCCACCTCTACAATCCAGCACTGACTGGCTCCTTTCCAGTTTCAGGCACCTCATCCCTATCTATCCATTGCCCTCAAAAATAACTGCTTAATGACTCTCCAGTAACTCCAGTCAACTCCATAAGGTCTCTTGAAAGCAGATCATCTGGGGGAGCTAACAGAACTCATCCAACTTTTAAAGTGATCTTTGATCAGCTCTTTCCTTGTCTCCACCTTCCCACATGACCTAAGCTGGCTGATCTGCTTCACCTCACACAAAGCTCTCTCAACCAAGAGCAGAGCAAATCAGTTCTGGACACAGAGTGCAAAAGCTGGGAGGGAGGATGATGTTTGAAGTTAGAAGATTCAGACACACAGCTTCTCAGACTTCAGAATTCCTTTCCTCCATCCAGCTCATAACTATAGATTTCACCTGGTTGCCATGGAAATATCAGTCTCTGGTGTATGGCAAGAGCATTTTAGACAGAAAGCATCACAGGCTACCATGGTAACACTAAAAAGAGTAAAGTTGCCTCCTCACTTGAAGGGGTGAGGAAGGAATAGATGAAGCTGCCAGGAAGGCAGGCTAGAAGGGACAGCCTTTAGAAAGCCTGGCTCCCACATGAGCAGGGAGGGACTTAATTCAACAGATGTGTAATATGTGCAGGCAAAGCACTAATGAAAAGGACACGTCTATGACTGGTCTCATTAGGCCATAACCATCTATTGATAGAGTATACAAAGAACTGTAAATTAAGGCAGAATAAGACCTATAATGGGACAAAGAATACTAAAAAGGGAATTCAGTTCCATCTAGGAAAGTTTCAGAGTCTTAAAGGACTAGATTTTGACAAGCAGAAGGGCAGGAAGAAAGAAAATCAGCAGACATGGAGTGGAAATTTTCAGGATATACAGGGAACTAGGTATAGAGACAGAAAAGGTGAGACTTCCCCATGACTCCAAGGCCTTGGCTTCCACAGTGGTGCTGAAGCAGGTTAAGATGAAGATCAAGGGATCTGAAGCTAGACTGCCTGGATTGAAATCGTCAACTTGGTAACTTTGTAATTGTGGGGCAAATTATTTAACCTCTTTAGGTATCAGTTTCCTTATTTACAACATAAAGATAAAAGAACCTACCTCAGAGGGTCACTAGAGGATGAAATGATTCAATATACATAGTGGGTACATTGCCTAACCAAAACAAATCCTGCATAGATGTTATCTTATCACCTCCTACCACCTCACTTTTCAGAGCCAAGATACACTCTTCTAACTGTCCAAGTATTACTTCCTGAATCCCAATGTCAAGAACACAGCAATTTAAAGAAGAGGGAGGAAATGCCACTGCCTTAGAGAAGACAAAAGCATAGGCTGGATAAGCCAAAAGTCAGGTGAAAATCACATTATGAATTGAGAACTGGTGGGGGAAATTCCAACTATGCTGGGAAAGAATCCTGGTCAGTGTCCCTCTCCCCTCATCCTTGCCACCATGCTCAGGCAGGAGAGGTTGAGGGAGGTTTCTTTTACCTTTAGCTGGGCCCAGAGAGGCTGTTTACTGCCCCCTTTTCTCCACTCCAACCACTCCCAATAGAGGAATGACTAGGCACTGAGTCATACAGTGACACGGCTGTCACCCACTAGTCACCTTACATAGGTTAAGACTAGAGAAGCAGTGTTTCTTCACTTCTACCATTGTCTCTCTCCCAGCAAGAGGATGTATGAGGCAAGACCAGGAGGCCAGGAAGAACTGAACTAAAGGAGCCAAAGTGCAGGAAGCCCAAAGTTGTTAGGAATAGGAATATAAAGAAACACTAGCCAACTGGCTCAGTGAATACAGTGTCGGCCTGCAGACTGAAGGGTCCCAGATTTGATTCTGGTCAGGAGCACGTACCTCGGTTGCAGGCTCGATCCTCAGTCCTGGTCAGGTGCAAGCAGGAGGCAACCAATCAATGTTTCTCTCTCTCTCCTCCCCCCTCTCCCTTCCATTCTCCCTAAACATCAATGGAGAAAAAGACAGGGGTGAGTAGGACAGAGATGAGATGAACTTGCAGGAAGTTGGAGGCTTCTTGGAAGAGTCACATTCTAAGCTGAGTCAGAAGGATGTCTGGCCGATGGGGAGGAAGAGGACAGGCATTTCAGGCTGAGGGAGCAGCACAAGTAAAGACAGAGGAGCCCAGGTGAAGATTTATTGATCTGATTCTGGAACAGCGGCATCCCAGAGGCCCTTTACAAAGACAATCAAAGGACATTAAAAACAGCGGCAACAAAACTAACTTGTGTTCAGTTTTCCTTCTGCCTCACAACTGGACAGTCTTCAATAAAACTCAGACAATTAAAAAAAATCAATGGAAAAATATCCTCAGGTGAGGATTAACAACAAAACCAACAGCAAAAAAACAACAACAAGCAGATGGGGGTCCATCTGAGGAGGGCAGGGAGGTGAGGCCTGTGGGTATTTATAGTTCTGGAAGAGTTAGAGACTGCCATGAGGAGGCCTGGTCCATATCTTCAGGATGACTAACAAAAATGGTCTGCGCTGTGCTTCTCAGGATGCATTAGCAGCAAATCAATAACTATAGGGGGACTGGGCCATAGCCAGCTGCTCCTACCTAAAAATAATGCATCCTCCTTCCCTTCCCCCAGGTTCAGAGAGCAAACTAGGGAAGGGGTGGGGGTGGCAGCAAAACAGAAGCAGCAAGACTGCAGCAGCCTAGAAGAACCAAGAGCTAGTCCTGGGTCCCAGTGGTCTTTTATACCACAAACAGGCTTCAAGTACTTAATACTTGTGTTAAAAGCAACCCCAGAAGTAAACATCACCAGAAAACCATCACTCTGCTTTAGAAGTCTGAGAGCTGACAAATTAAAACTTAACAGCAATTATCCATATTTTTAGCAAGATAATAAAGTCTTAACACTCTGTTGCCATAGAGACCAGTAAAGAATGAAGGAGCCCCACCAGCCCTGCCCCTGAACCTCAGACCTCCTCCTCTTGGCTGATTTCTAGCTGGTAAGCCAGGCTCTGACTCAGTTGTCTGTTACAAGCCTTATAAAGGGGGCAGAGGAAGGGGTACCACCCTTTTGGTAGGGCCATTCCTGGAATACTCAGCTCCCTGGAAGTCATTGGTCCCAGGCCTGTGTTGTCCCAGGCAGAGCTATATATTTGAAAAGCAAGAGTTGAGGTGACTGGGAGAATAGATGGCTTATGGCCTGAAGAGTGCTGATGTATGATGCCCAAATCCCTTTGGATATTGGACTGGGATTCCTACTACAAAAAGGGCTAAAGGCAGTATGGAGGCCAATGGTAAGAATGTTGAGCTTGGAAGACTTCTCTGATATTTAAGTCCTCCAGATCAGCGGTCGCCAACCAGTAGTCTGTGGACCACTGGTAGTCCGTGAGGTCCGAAAGGTTGGCGCCCAAAAGGTTGGCTACCGCTGCTCCAGATCATACAACCCTCAAGAAAGGTGCAGAATGTCACACTGCCATCTGGTGGAAAGACAAGATCTGTCCTTGGGCACAGAGACAGAGCCTGGCAGTCTGTCCAGTGGGCAGGTAGGTTTGGAGATAGTTAACATGAAGACAGATAGGAGACCGAGGGGCAGAAAGTATAATGCAGATACAGACAGTGTATCTGTATACAGGTATGCACCTTTTGTCCTGTTTTATTTCTAAAGGTTAGATACCATTAAAATAAAGAAAACACAATGGCATTGTTTTATATTCCTACAACCACTCGTGGTTTTGGCTCATTAGAAGTTAACATCAGGCACAACTGACTGAGACTACACACATGGGCAGCAGCCACAACAGCAAGGCTTGCCTTTTGTACAAAGTTTATATATATATATTATTTATGTACACAGACTCAAGGATATAAAGTCCAGTGAGAAGGGCTCATATGTGCCCAAGTAGGGGACAGGAGTGGCTTTAGCGCTGGGGTGGAGCCCACAGTAGAGGCACGTCGGAAGTAGTGGAGAGTAGCAGCCTCTCCACCATCCTCTTCCTGGACCAAAGGAAGGACCTGGGAGGAAGGACAACTAACTATACAAAAGAAGATGGAAGATACTAGAAAGGTACCCCATCTTTCACTAAACTCCTGAATGCCCCTAAGACATCCAAAATACCTGGCAGGATAGATCATTTCTATAGCTCCCAGCAAACTGCAGAGCCCACAGTCGTTCTGGCCCCAAACTGAGGTCTAAGGCAGGCTTTACAATGCACATACATGTCCAAGCTATCTTCCAGGGCCCTTGTAGCATCAAGCCAGCACCTTCAAGGTTCAGCCCCCAAACTGAAAAATCCTCTTGGACCAGAGGGCTTAAGGGTTTTTCCTTGACAAAATTGTAGGGTAAAGGTATAGGGGACAAAAAGAAATCAGTTCCTTCAGTTAATGCCCTAAAGCCTTCTCAACAGAGGAGGAATCAAGGAATCACTAAGAGGTGGTTGGAAAGGGCAATGAAGATCATCCCAGGAGATGGTATACATGGAGAAACAGGTGTTCAATAATTCTCTTCTCTTCAACTAGTGGTTGCTCAGCAGAGTCCATTCCCAGTGGGTCCATGGGCAGGAGCTCTTCTTGGTGTCTAAGGGTGACCCCAATTCCCCCAGAGTTAATGTCCATGGCTTCAGGATGGCTTGATCCACAAAATGGATAGAAGGGGCCGTAGAATGGTAGATATGGAGTGGCAGGACCCAGAGGCATAGGGAGGCAATGTACTGTGCCACTGATTTACTTGGGACAAAGAGAAGAGGTAAATGGAAGTAAAACGAAAGAAAATAACCAGAGTCTAAAATGAATGAGGTCCCGCGACTCACATGGTCTGGGGGGTAAAAAGGCTGGAAAGCTGGAAGCACTGGGAGGCAATTGCCTGAGAGGCAAGGTTCAGGGCTGGACTCAGAGCTAGAACAGAGAGAAGAGGCAAAGTGAGTCAGTGAGCACAGAGCATTCCTTCTTCCCAGGCCCAGCCCATCTATCCCTTTCCCAAGTCCACGTCTACCAGTCAGAGCTGCTGGGTTTAGGGCCCCCAAGTGAATTGCTCCATTCAGCTGCAAAGCAGCAGCTTGGGCAGCGGCGGCAGCAGCAGCGGCTGTGGTTGGCAGCTGGATCCCAGAGCCTAAAAGGTAAAGAAAAAGTGGGGTTAAGTCCCAACCCTCAATCTACAATTCAACCCCATGTTTTTCACTCTGAAGAGTAACTACCTTCTGCCAATTTGGCCATGAGCTGCAAACGTCCACCTGCTGATCCCAGATTCAGCTCCTGGTCTCCATCAGGAAAAGTGATGTCTGTGCCACCATCCAGTCGCTCAGTCACATGGCCAACTCTCATAGGTCGACCAGCAAGCTCAAAGCCATTCAACTGTTCCAGGGCCCGTCGGGCACACTCAGAGTCAGAGAACTACAAGAAACCCAGGCCATTATCAGTCACTTCTCAGCCAGAGATACGCCCTCAAAGCCCCACTAACACTCCTAGACCTACTATCCCAGGAAACTTGCATGGTTGCTGTGGCACAAACTTTTCTTTCTCAGGGAATTTGACCTCAGATCCCCCTAAAATTGATCTCTGAAACGAACTTTTCCAACTGATTTCAATCTCTGAGCTCCACTAAAAATCTAATAATGTAAAAAGTCTATTATCTGTAGGGAGCCTAGCCTGACAGGCTGTCTCACAAATGGGGATATAAAACGGAAGTAAGACAGACTGAGAGCTAAGACTCCCGAGGCTTTATTTGAGCCTTTACAACTAGTAAGTTTAAATTCTCAGTTAAGAGAAGGAATCTGGGCCTCCAGAGCCCAGCCTTAGGAAGTAATACATCCTGGTATTGAAAGGAAAACTGCACCAAACCTCCACCAGAGGACTGCTGACTCAGTAACCCACTGACCACAGGATCTCAACTCTCTCATCCCTTTCATCAGCAGCAGCCTGGCATAAAGAGGATTCCCAGTCTTCTGTTTAAAGAGTCAAGGGTGTTGACCTAAATGCAGCAACAAAAGGGCAAAAAGGCCCCATAGAAGCCTTTCCAAATCTGAGTCACACAGGGAGCTAGAAAAGATACTTGCTACCAGGAATGCCACAGCTGGCTTTGTTTACTCTGGTATTACCTGCCCTAGGGCCTGGCATGTGGTACTGACAGTTCCTAGGCATGTGGTATAGGTGGCCTGCCTTTACTGGATACTTTTGAGGTAAGCAATTGCCATGATAGAACACAACCTACCTCCCCTCTGCCCTGCAGGTAACTGTGGGGTGTATGTTGCCTGGATTGAGCCCAGAAAATATCAGCTTCTATCAGACTTTGTGGCTGGCAGCCAGTCCTCAGCCTGGAGTCACATGGGGCTAGAAGAACCAGTTATGGGAATTGGAAACAATTTTGTTGGAGTGTCAGGAAAAGATGAGACTTGACCACTATTAGGTGGCCTCACTATTCTCCCTATAGTGGGATTTAAATATAAAGATACTTCTCAATGGAAAAACCTACTTCAAACAGGGTAGCACAAGAGGGAAGTATATAACTTCCGATTCCCACCCCATCGTGAAAATATGTCAATTCTATAAAGCATGTCTATAAAAGCTCATACCTAACCTCCCTCATACCCCCAACCTTTTAGTTGCAGCCTGGAACCATAACTACTACCCAAAGAGCATGTTACAGCCCCAGGGAAGGTGGGAGAACTCCTGGACACCCCCATACACTGATAGAGTATAGGAACAAAGCCAAGATCTCAAACAAGGCACTCATCTCAAGGGGCAGAAGGCTAGTAGTCCAAGGTTCAGCACCAGGGTTTATGGGTCATTTAGACCAGCAGTCGACAACTTTTCGGACCTCACAGACCACCAGTGGTCTACAGACCACCGGTTAGCAACTGCTGTTCCAAAGGTTTCCTTAAACCAGTGGTCACCAACCTTTTGGACCTCACAGACCACCAGTGGTCCGTGGACCACCGGTTGGCGACTGCTGATTTAGACAATTCCTAAAGGAGGAGGATGAAGCTAAACTGCAAAATCAGACATGTAGACAAACCCAAATTAAAATAAAGAAAGACTAGAGACTTACCGTAATGAAACCATAACCTTTAGAGCGGCCTGTATCTGAGTCCTTCATCAGGACAATATTATCAATCTGTAGAATAGGGAGAAATTATTAATCATCGTTTGGCTAAGTCACACCTTCGACCCTTCCTACCCAGACTATTCTAAATATCTCCCAGTTTCTACATTTCTCCAAATCTTTTAAAAAAGAGACAAAGGCCACCCCCCCCCCCGCCCCCCATAAACAACCTTTCTGACTAATCTTACTTAATCTGGACCTTGATTTCATGGTGCTGACTCATTTGTCTACTGAATAGAGATGGAGCCTAATTGTCCAAGCATGGACCCATATGCCCATTACTATGTATGCTATGCTGTGGGTTAATCATGGTCAGGCAGAATGAAGAGGAACACTCACCCTCCCCACTTTTTCCAATTCCCTTCAGAGGTTTTCCTCACTTTCTACTCACTTTGCCAAAGGGCTCAAAGATGCCCCGGAGCATGTCCTCGGTAATATTGCAGTGCAGGGAGCCCACACAGAGGCGCATTGGTCCACCACTGCCTTTCTGTAGGTTGTTGGCCATGGCTGCCAGTCGGTTTTTCTCAGCCTGAGGAAGGAGGGAATGATGGGTCAAGTCCCACACCTGCTACCTTCAAAGCTGTTTTCTCCTATCAGTTTCTCAGCCTGCTCACCTGTGAGGCCTGTACAATGATAGGCACCCCCAGCAGCCGCTGCCCTGTCAACGCAATGGCCAGTGGCACAGACTGGATTTCACAGAATTCCACATAGGCAATGCCCTTAGAACGACGTGAGTTCCGATCTGAGATGATACGTACGTCACGAACCTATCCAGGGGAAAAAGGAAATCCTAAGTTGGGTATAGAAGGGGGTGGATAAAAGACAGAGTACTAAGAAGGAAACTAAAAGGGGAAATGTTACCTTGCCAATAGCAGAGAAAAAGTCCTCCAGGTCTCGAGGCCGAATGCGGGCGGCTAACTGCATACAGAAAACTGTTCGGGCATCACGCTCCTCGGGACTCAGATTATCAATTGACTCCCTAAAGAGTAAAATTTACTAAGACCCCCCCCTCCACCCAATACTTGGTCTTTGTTTTCCAGCTACTCTCAAGTACCACACATTCCTAAAGTTTGGCTCAAAGAGCTTTTTATTTTTTTAAAAATATTTTATTGATTTTTTACAGAGAGGAAGGGAGAGGGATAGAGAGTTGGAAACATCGATGAGAGAGAAACATCGATCAGCTGCCTCCTGCACACTCCCCACTGGGGATGTGCCCACAACCAAGGTACATGCCCTTGACCAGAATCGAACCTGGGACCCCCCAGTCTGCAGGCCGACGTTCCATCCACTGAGCCAAACCAGTCAGGGCTCAAAGAGCTTTTTATTCATACCACACAACACCTAAAGAAGTGCTCATCATTAACTTACCTGACCGGACTCTTCTCTCTGAAATGAGGACTCTTACTGTGTCCATACCTATGCCTAAGGAATAGAGAACAAAAAAAGTGAAATCTGTATCACCCAACTTTATTCACATTGAACCAATGCTGAGTCTGCCATCATGAGAAAACCAGATCCCATTCACCACCTCCTCTCACACATGAAATTTTTTTTTTTTACTTTTAAAAATATATATTTTTTTATTGATTTCTGATAGGAAGGGAGAGGGAGAGAAACATCAATGATGAGGGAAAATCACCAATCAGCTGCCTTCTGCACGCCCTCCACTGGGGATTGAGCCCGCAACCCAGGCATGTGCCCTTGACCGGAATCAAACCCAGGAGCCTTCAGTCCGCAGGCCGACACTTTCTCCATTGAGCCAAACCAGCTAGGGCGAATTTTTTTTTTTTAAATCCTTGCCCAAGGATTTTTTTAAAATTGAATTTTAAAAAACCTGAGGACATGGTTTTATTGATTTTAAAGAGAGAGAAAGAGGAAGAGAGAGAAATCAATGAGAGAGAAACATCAATCAGCTGCCTCTCACACACACTCTGACCAGGGATGGAATCCACAACCTGGGTATGTACCCTGACCAGGAATTGAACCTGCGACCTTTCTGTGTATGGGACAATGCTCTAACCAACTGAGCCACACCAGCCAGGGCTACTTTTTCTTTTTAGAGAAAATTAAAGGGGGGTTAGGGGGTAGGGAGGGAGGGAGGGAGAGAGGGGGAGAGAGAAACATCAAGTAGTTGGCTCTTGTACCCACCCCGACCAGGATTGAATCCACCTTTTGGTATATAGGACAAAATTCCAAACTACTGAGTCACCCAGCCAGGGTGACATGTGAATTCTTAGTACCACCCCTGCAATAACTGGATCTTCTCCCTATCACAGAGGGACATAAGCATCCTCAGGCAGGGACCACAGCAAAATCGTTTTACCCAGATTACAATACAAAGGTGAGCTTATTAGCAAAAGGTGATACCCAGTGGCAAGTGGTGGACTCCTGTAGTGCACACGATTCTCACGACGTGGGGCCCGACTTCTGGACTCACTACTATGCTGATGATCCCAGCTTTGGCTGTGGTGACGATGCTGCCGATCTCGACTTCGGCTCCGACTACTTCTCCGTCTATGCCGATCCCGGTCTCGACTACGGTCTTGACTACGACTGTAGATGGAAACAACTATTTAGTTTGTTAAAGAACCAACCAACCTCTTCTGGCCTTTAATGTATAGCTTTCCCTGGTATCTTTCCATTTGTAGTAATTCTCAAAACCCAACAGCCCCCAGAATAACTGACCTGCGCTTTCTATCCCTGCTTTTACTATGGCTCCGACTCTTCTTCCTGTGAAAGACAATGTAAATTCTTATTATTGCGAAGGTTTCATGATCTCTCCCACATAAAAGAAATGAGAGTATGGCCAGGGTGAAACCGAAAGCAATAAAGGACCAAAGTCCAGATGATCTGGCAGTAGCTCACAGCAACTGCACACCAACTTATACACAGCCTGGATGCTGTCAGGCATCTGATGCAGCCAAAGCTGGTGTTTCCAAAGTAGGAGTCTTCTTGCTATTTTACTCAAATGAAATATACCAATGCTGGGACTGATCCACAAATCTACACTGAAAAGCTTAAACTACATCATTAAACTAAATCACCGTTATGCCCAAGATCCAGTGAAGCCATTACTAAAAGCTGTCTTAGAAGCAATTACCTCCCTGTTCTTTTTTAAAAAATTTCTTTATTGATTAAGGTATTACATGTGTCCTTATCCCCCCATTGCCCGCCCTCCCCCCCACTCATGCCCTCACACCCCTGTTGTCTGTGTCCATTGTACCTCTCTGTTCCTGCTGTTTCTCCAATGGACAAGATTGCTTCCCTTCCTAAGTTGCCAACCCATTTCCTCACACCACACTCACTTGCTTGCCTCCGCACTGGTGCTGCTCCCACTGCCACTGTTGCCGGTGCTGCTGCTGGGGTTGCTAGGGCCGTCCTTTTTAACCTCCTTCCTTTGCTGCTCATCCTGAAGGGTTCACCAGAAAAATGTCACAAGGTTCAACGTGGCAGACACATAGAATCCATTGGGCACAGAACAAAAGTGGACAAGAAAAAAAGCATATGAAATCAAAGCTCTCAATTATCTAGCCAACTTTTAAACATCTGGACCTCCTAACAAAATAAATGAAGAAAGGAAGGAAAACTACCCAAAAGGAAGAGATCAGAGGGACAGTTTTTGATGTTAAAACTTTAGCTACTCAACATCTATTTCTCAAGAGAATGAGAAGTCAGTTAGGTCTGAGGTATAGGTCTGACTTTCTACTGTACCATTGAGAACTATGAGCAAAGTACCCATTCCTACCCCCTTTGCGCCCCCCTCCATTTTAGGGGGCCCACTCTGAAAGCATGGCCCTTGAGTACTGATCTCCAGAATAGCTTACTAAATGACTATGTCTTTTATGAATAGCCATTGTACACAATAAACAAGCAGAGAAAGAGAATTCACAAAATGTTGAGACCAATGATCCACAATTGCTTTTTCTTACCAACCCAGGAGTGAGGTGGGAATATTACCTCCTCTTTTTTATAGGGAGCCTCCAGCATGGCCTCAATCACGATATCAAAGTCATCGGATGCCATCACAGCAGATCTGAGGAGAGGATATCAATACACAAGAACCTCATTAATATGTTTCCTTCCCTTTCAGCACACCACATTCCCTTCCCCCTCCAAGAAACAGACTTTAGAACATAGCTCTGTTTCATAAACTCCAAAGGAATCGTACCGGCTATTTGCTTACCCTAGGTTTATTTTTGCACCTTACAGATCTGAACTATTTCTGCTTGATGACTTAGAATAGGTGAAGGGTCTACAAGGAAACTGGGTAGAGACAAAATAATACAGACCGTGTCCTATCCTGTGAAAAGAAAGTGTTGGTACTCAAAGTTACTATTCACTTTACAATGAACAAGCACTAGGCCTCCATTCTACTGTTCAAAATTCTGAATAAATAACTGGTTTAAATTTAAATCATAGAAATAAGCACATATTCCCAATAAAAAGATAGATGCAAGACTAAAAATGAGAATACAAAACAACACCAGAATAATGCAGATTTGCCCTCAACTATTTCCCACATCCCCCTCCCAAACATCAATAATTAGATAACTCAGCATTAAGCATTTTTCATAAAACAACAACTAGCTTAGATAACTCAGAAAGATACGATTAAGACAAGCTTAACCACTTCCGCTGTGAAGCCTTTCTGTCTAGGCAGGCAGGGTGGGCTTCTCGCTCCCCCAAGCTTTCACATCTAGCAGTCATCTTTCCTCAGTGTGTCCACCACAGGTCTCTTAAGTAAGAAAAACAGAAGATACCAAACAAAACCAATAGGAAAACTTATTCAAAAATTACTAGTCTGAAATTATCAATATACACAACATAGATGAATCTCAAAATAATGATGGTAAGTGAAAGAAATCAAACAAAAAAGAGTATGTATTGTATGATTACATTTATACAAAATTCTAGAAAATGCAAACTAACCTGTAGTGACAGAAAGCAGATCAGTGGTTGCCTAGGGATAAGAGTAGGTGGGGAGGGGCTAGGAGGAAAGGATTACAAAAGGGCACAGGAAAGTTTTGGGGTGATGTTTCATGGATGAAACATATCAAAACCCATCAAACTGTATGCTTTAATGTAATTTTATATCAACTATATACCTCAGTAAAGCTAAACCCCCTCCAACTAATCTTAAGAATCTATGCTAAGGTTAATCATAATCAAACTTTCCATATCCATAAGAGCGTTGTCTTCTTTAAAGTAGCTAATGCATCATCCAACGATGCTGTCCTTGTTGCCCTCAGAACCCATAGTCTATTTGATGGTTTAATAGAGTAATATAAAAATTATATGTAAATATAAAAGTAAGTAATATAATAAAGTAATATGAAAATAAGAGTAATGATGATGTAATGTAAATGACACATCATTTATAGTACTGAATATTGCTAGGCATGTTATAGAGACAAAATTCTTGGAAAGAGTAAAACAATAAAAATTGCTCTTAAACAAATTTAAAGCTTAAATTGGAAATTAAACCAAAATCAAATAGTGTGTCTAAAATCCAGTGAACACAATCTCTTACAATAACAACACCTTACATTATTTAACAATCAAAGGTAATATATGCTACAACTAGATATCAGTTCCAATGCACAGATGAAAATCTGAAGTTTTGTGAACTGTCCAAAGTCACAAAATTCAAATGGAGGAGCTGACTTGTGAGTAAAGTCTTCTGACCCTAGTCTAATGTTCTATCCACTATATTGGTTAGCTCTCTCTCATGGTTTTAACTTAAAAGAAAATTTAAAAAAAGAAAATTACAAAGTATATCATGATGTCTATTTTTAAATGTACTTATCTAGAGAATTAATGTCCCAATGGGTTTATCAAAGAGTCAGTCCCATTAGCCATACCTTATTGTATATGTTCCAAAATATCAAGAACCAGGCTAATTATAATATATACTATCTGATCTATTCTGGAAAAATGGTTCTAAAAGGAAAAGTTTTTAATCCTCAAACTGTTCCTTTCAGTCATTTTGGCTGCCAAGTCTACACAAATTTTCTAAGTGTCACAAAGTTCCTCTTCATCATTTACAATCTGCTTTTTCCTCCCTAAATGAAATGCTTCTGATTTCAAGAATCGTTGAGTGCGAGTGCAGGGTAGGGGTAACCCTACACACAAAATCTTTCACTGAAGCTGATACGTGAGCCCCCAGTGATGGAGTACAATTTTCACCCTGACTCAGAAACAAATGAATGAACTGATTTAGGCACAGACATATACAACATGAGCACATTTTGAAACTTGTAATCTCGCTGGGTTTAGTATAGCTTTCGGGTGTCCTAAAAGCATTACAGTCCCAAATAGCATGGGTTTTCAGGCTGTTCGTTTTCAAACTCTCTCCCGGTCCTAATTTATTGGTCAAAGTCCATTCAAAACCATCATGAAAACACTACAGAACTTTCTGCCATCCCTGCTCCGAAACCTACGTGAGGGGCCCACAATCACGGGCAATGCTCAGATCCTGGCACAGCACAGCCAAGACTCAGGCCAGTGCTTAGGTCCCCTGCTGCCAGGGCACCGGGGAGCGAGGGGCACTGTCAGCCCAGCTCGGGCCAATTCACCAAGGGCTCGAGTCCCAGGGGCGACGGGAGCGCCATCTCCTGGGTCCGGCCACTGAGCTGGCACCAACATCTCCAAACTAAGGCAGCTTAATGAATAACAGGAACAATGAGGAAGATAAAAACAATCCCCACGAGGTGTACAAACGAAGGCTACGCTTTTTTAAAAAAATGGTCCTGTAAGTACCATCTCTGAGAGGGCCAGTGTCCCAATGCTGAAACCTCATCCCTGGCTCACTACACTCCTCTTTCGCCACGGAAAGTGTGGTCATAAAAGGAGAGAGGGAAAGGCCCATGGAGACCAATATACTGAAGAGCCTTCGTGAAACTGAAGATCAAGGAAGAAATCTCAATTCTCTCCTCTCTGAGTGGTGGTGGCACTCGGGGCTGAAAACCGAACCTCCGTTTTCTCTCAGGCCCCCGTGGGTCTACGCTCCCTCCCCAGTACGGGCTGCGGGGACCTGGGCAGAGATCCTTGGGTCACTGGGACCCTTGACACAGCGTCTTCCTCGGTAAGATATAGCCACGAGGGTGCCGATCCCTGAAGTCCTGACAGTGGACTACATTCAGGTAGCAAACACTTCCGAATGAAAGATAAAAAAATTTTCTTTTACTTTAAGCTTGCCTCATTCTGCTCTTGACGCCATTTTCTGCCTGTGACGTCAGCGGCAGGCGCCCGGGGGCTACGTCACGCATAGGTGACGTCGCGAGGAAACCAGGTTTCAGGGTTTCTCACCAGTTCCGGGTCCCCGCGGGGGTAGGAGGGCCCCGGTCTTCTCTGCTCCTTCGGGTTTGTTGGAGGGTGCGAAGCTCGGCTGTGTTCAGAGCCTCAGCAGTAAAAGCCCCACTGCAGCCGGAGCCGCTCCTCTCCCCGGAAAATGGCGGTAGTTGCACTGTCTTCCAGACGGTCCCCAATCTGCGCAGGCGCTAAAGCATTAGGTGCTGGAACTTACTTCACTGGTTTCGCGGCAACAGTCCGAAGTTCAGAATTTCATTGGTTAAAATTTTAAGCATGGGTGGAGCCAAACTCGAATGCTTCTTGGCAACCATGAAGTTCCCAATGATTGGCTAGCTTCTCGAGACTTCCGGAAAGTGGGCGCGGCCTCAGGCGGCCGTCCGTCGCGCTCATTGGTTAAATGACTTGCGGAAGGCGGAGAAGCCAGGCGGAGACTAGACGTAGGGACCTCCTACCCCGCTCCCAGCTCGGGTTGACCAGGCCACCCGCCGTGGGCGGAGCCAACGAGGACTTGTAATAGACGTTCTTGGCTCCCCCAACTGATTTGTCAAGGGGGTCACGTCCGTCTAGGGACAGCTTTGTGGAGAACTGCGTTTGCTTCACGTCAGGAAAGATGCTGGACTCCATATCCCCATCTGAACGGACTATCTACACAACCCTCCCAAACGCCGCCTCCTGCCCTCAGTGCTTGGGAGCTGGGAAAGAGGTCTTGTCACCAATTTGTCTGGTCCTACACCTCAGGTACATCAGTTCCAATCAGTAGCCCACACACCTGACCCTGCAAGGGTGAACTTGAGACAGTTTCTCAGGTGACTCCTTCCATGCAGCAGTCAGTCCTCTAACCAGAAAGGATGGAACTGACTTACGCCCACCCCCCAATCCCAAGACTTCCAAAAAGGTAGCTGGTTCTAACACCCAGAGAGCCAGAGTCAGGGGACCTATGTCCAGCCTGGACTTGAATACTAACTTTATATTATTGTACCAACTTCAAATACCTCCTCTATAAAATGAAGAATTGGACTAGATGATCTCTTAGGACTCTTAACCCTATGATTTTATTCCAAAGTAATAGGTTGCCCTGGCTGGTGTTCTCAGTGGTTAGAGTATCAGCCTGTGCATTGAAGGGTCTGGGGTCTGATTCCTGGTCAGGAGCACATATCTGGTTGCAGGTATGATCCCTGGCCCTGTCATCTCACATGCTAGAGGCAAACAATCAATGTGTTTCTCACACATTATTTCTCCACCACCTCCCCTCCCCCCTCCTATTCTCTCTAAAAAAAATCAATGAAATAATATGTTCTGGTGAGGATTAACAAAACAACAAAAATAGGTGGCTTCTTGCTGGAGATGCCTGGACAGCTTTGTTTCTCAAGAGGTAACAAAGGTGTTTGGCAGTTCAGTAGCTAAGGAAGGTAGAAGGAAAGCTGGCTTTATATACAACCCCATCTTTCTCTATGGTGGCAAATTATGCCTCCTCTCCAGACAAAAGCCTAATCACAGGTCCTAATAGACTAGACCTCTCTGTAGCTAATCAGAAAGACCTAGACCCAGAAGTCCCAGAGGCACCACTAAGCTTCTCAGATGGACACTCTTGGGTCTTGGATGAGGGCACAGATCTAAATATGTCTAGGTTTAAGTAAGGTTGGGAAAGAAGAGGCAGGGAGAGCAGGATTGGAGCTGGAAAGGCCATAACTTCACTTTATTTGTATTTCCTCCCACACAAAACAGAAAGAGAGATGATCAGGGAAAGGGCTGAAAATGTGTTCAATCTGCACGTTCTCAGGGCTGTTCCAGGGAGCGCTTGAGGCTGAGTGCCTGTTGGAGTAGTTTCAGATCTAGCACTAATTCCTCATGCCTTGGCCTGAAGTCTTCACAGATTGGTGGCTTGAGCCTTGTAATTAATTCTCCTTTGCCCACCTTGATTGTAAGGCAGGAAAACAGAGTGAAATGCTCCTCTCTGATGGGCAAGGGAAATCGCAGCCCACAGATGTAGTGCACCTTCTGTGCTATAGGAGCAGAAGCCGAAGCCGCTTCCGGACATTTGCAGGCTTGGCTAGAGACCAATGGTGTATGAGCGGCCTGTGGGATTGTGAATAGCAGAACAGACTGGTGCTGTCACAGCCCACTCATACCACACCTTCTTGGAATTGCTGCATCGCCAGAAACGCACACAGATGGTTTGGCCTTCACGTACTGTAATGGGCTGCTGTAAGAAGAAAGATGGAATTTTAGGGTGCAGCTAATGAATTATATGTGGCAATGTATTGAGCTAGGTATGGAAATAAAATGATAAAACATGACATCCCAACCCTCATAAAGTTTATCTGAAATCTATCAGAACAAATAATCAGAATTGAAAAACCAGACATTAAGCAAATAATCTAGAATGTGATCAGTGTGTGAACATGCACAGGGAGAATGCTAACTTAGTCTAGGACAGTGGTCGGCAAACTCATTAGTCAACAGAGCCAAATATCAACAGTACAACGATTGAAATTTCTTTTGAGAGCCAAATTTTTTAAACTTAAACTATATAGGTAGGTACATTGTTATTAACTTAATTAGGGTACTCCTAAGGCTTAGGAAGAGCCACACTCAAGGGGCCAAAGAGCCGCATGTGGCTCGCGAGCTGCAGTTTGCCGACCACGGGTCTAGGAGGTCAGAAAGTTATGACAAGAATGTTCAAGGAAGCCTAGAAAATAAGTTAGCTGGGTGAAGAAGTAAGCAAATAATTTTACAGGCAAAGGAGAAAGGTATGAAAGCCTGATACAGGAATGAAGATGGTGTATCAGAGGAACCAAAAGCCATTCCACTGGACTGAAGCAATGTAATCAAGGGGACAGTAGCTAGAAAGGCAGGCTAAAACCAAATCACACCAAGTTTTACAAGTAATGGTCAGGATTTTGACTGTTACCCTGAGGACAGTGGGAAGGGTTTTAAGCAGGAGAGAGATACAATCAAATTTGAGTTTTTAAAAGGTGATTCTTGCCAAAACCGGTTTGGCTCAGTGGATAGAGCATCGGCCTGCGGACTGAAGGGTCCCGGGTTCGATTCCGGTCAAGGGCATGTGCCTGGGTTGCGGGCACATCCCCAGTGGGAGATGTGCAGGAGGCGGCTGATCGATGTTTCTCTCTCATCGGTGTTTCTGGCTCTCTATCTCCCTTCCTCTCTGTAAAAAATTAATAAAATATATTTAAAAAAATAAAGTAAAATAAACTTAATTTAAAAAAAAAAAAAAGGTGATTCTTACTTAAGGTAAAAAATAGAAGAGCAGCTAGAGGAGACGTGGGGAAGCCATGGAGAAGGCCACTGCAGATATCCCAACATCTACAACTGGGATCCAAGCACGTGAGAGCAGTAGGACATGCTCTCCATACTCAACAGCTGAAGTTATCACTTAACCTATGGAGTTTTAAAGGCGATTCCTACCTTAATGGGAAAGAAGATGGGAAACCATGAGAACATCCCAGGAGAGTGAGTCTCTGGGCGGATACCTATGGGGACAAAATAATGAAAAATTGAGGTTCTCCATAACAGTGCTTTTTGACTAGGTTGAGAAGTTTCTGAATTACTTTGAAACAAGTAATCAAAGATCCCCATTTCTGACTCCCGGGCTCCATGTAATTCTAAATGAAACATGTACATGAGCTGCCCAGATAGTACATGCTCATACCCCATCATCCACTGCCCCAAACTCACTCAGAGTGATGTCCTGATAAAGCACAGTCTCAAAGTAGCCTGCAAAGCCATGCAGTACTGTATTCACCTCCACGGGAAACTCCAAGGTACAGTAGCGGTTGTTGTCAATCATAGGATCTGTCCGGGAAAAGTTGTGTGGGTGACAAAGGGCCAGAAGTCCTAGACAACTTGGTAAGAGCAAGACCAAGGGAAGCTTAGACAAGACAGACCCAGACAGCAAGGGAAAAAACTAGGAGGGCGAGCTCTTACGCACCCAGTCAGAGGACAGACACACAGGAACCCACCTCTGTTGGGATGGCTGAAGGTAAAACAGGGCTGGGGCGCAGACAGCTGGTGAAAGTTGTGCAGTCGTACCACATAAGGCATCTCAAACTGGGCCTGACCCGAGAGACAGAGGGCAAGAACTGGAGAAAATAGGTCAGAGATGCCTACTTCCTCAGGGAAAGAAGCTCAAGTCTGAGGGACATGGAAAAGAATGAAAACAAACTTTCATTTCGACCACTTTCCCACATCCCCAACTCCTCCTCTATCTCACCATCTGCGGAGGAATAAAATAATTGGTGCTAATGTAGAAAAATAAAGAACTAAAGAGAGGAGTCCTCCAGAAGAGAGTGTGTTTTTTTTTACCTCAGGGTCACGGTCCTTTTCCCGACAGGCTCGGACCTCATTGTACAGCTTGGAGGAGGAGATAGGGGCCAGAAAGGAGGTGTACTCCCCAGGGATGCTCACACCGTCATCTGCAGTGCAGGAGGGCTACATTAGTTCCGAAGAGATGGAAATGGTATATCTGTACGAACTGAAAGCTCAAACGCACACATCCAAACAGACCCAGGCAGCTCAATGTTGTCACATCCCCAGGCCAACCGCTCCCAACTCCTGTCACAGGGGATTCCACTTCCGGATTAATTTACAGAGTCACACAAGGTTAAAACTGCCCTGGCCAGTTCCACTCAATGATTAGAGCATCGGCCTGCAATCGAATGGTCACAGGTTTGATTCCTGGTCAAGGGCATGTACCTGGGTTGCAGGTTCGATCCCAGGCTCTGATATGGGCATGGCACATGCAGGAGGCAATCAATGCCTCACATCAATGTTATTCATTCTCTGTCTCTCTCTCTCTCCCCCGCCCCCCCCATCCCTCCCTCCCACACTCTCTTAAAAAAAAAAAAATGGAAAAAATACACTCAGGTGAGAATGAACAAACAACAACAAAACAACCCTGGAAGGAACCTAAGATATTCTAAATGAGTGCTAACTTTTGTGAGGTCACAAAACTCTGAGATCTTGATGAAAACTAAGCCAAAGGTACATATCACAGCAACTCAGGTAAGACCACAGACCTCAGATTAAGTGTCTCTGCTCTAGTCTATTCCCCTCATTTTATTTTTAAGTGTTTTTATTGATTTTAGAGAGAAAGGAAGGGAGAGGGAGAGAGAAACATTGATCCCAACCGGGGATCAATCCTGCAACCTGGGTATGTGTCCTGAC